TTGTACCAGGGATTGAACTCACAACCTCGTGCTTTCCCGGCAGACGCTGTGATGCTGAGCTGTATCCGCAGCACTGAAAATTCTAAATAGAGCTGTGGCAGAGGTAAGTGGGTATGGCCCCGCTTCCACCCTTCTACACCAATAACAGAACCCTCCATTTTCACCTGAGCTCACAGCCACCAGGAATAAAGACTCCCTTTGCCAACCCCCTTGCCATGAGACAGGGCCAAATTCTAGCCAAAGAGATGTAGGACAGCACAAGAGAAGGCTTGGTAACTGTGCCCTGAGCAAAACCATCCAATCACTCATCTTAGTGACTTTCTTTTTGCTGGGACAAAATAGGTACTCGACACCCACAAGTGAAAGGTACAGAAGTTTATTTGAGTTCACAGTTTGTACAGGTTCCAGTCCATCGCTGGCTCACTCCAGGGCAGGGCAGGGTAGAGTTTATGGCACATCAGACAGGAAGCAGGAAGCACTCAAGATAGGCCAAGGAGGGACACACACTTCTCCAGGCCACACCCACCGCTTCCCACCAGGCTTCACTCCCAACATCACACCCAGCTACAAACCCTTCTGGTCCCAGGGTCCAATCAGCTCTGAAAAGCCCCACCTATATGCACATGAAGCATTGGGGGGACAGCTAGATAGAAATTATAACATCGCTCGTAGAATTCTTAAGAGAAAATTTAAGCTTATTTTTAGATTTTTCTATTACTTGTCAAACCCAATCACAAGTAATTTAGCCAATAATAATAACTATTGCTTATTGCGCACCTCACACTTGCCAGGTATGAGTGGTTTACATCTATTCGCAGCAGTCCTAAGAGGTTAGCATCATCCCATTTTACAGATGAGGAAACTCAGGCTAATAGGTGGTAGAGCCAGGATTCCAGCTCGACCTGGCTAGAGACTAGAGCTAGAAGCAGTGTTCTCACCACCATGCTGTGCTTCACCCCATCCCAGAGGTCCTTAGCCAACCTGCACTTACCCACGAATTCAACAAATACTAAGCAAGTGGCCAGGGCTGGGGGGTGGAAGGCAGAAGGGAGGAAAGAGCAGACTGCGACCGCTTGGTAGGAACGTCCAATCCTGCTTCTGTCAGGCTGGGCCAGGGAGCAGCTTTTACACTGGGGTCGGAGTGGATGGGAAGAGTGATTTGGGAGGGGACAGGGAGGCAGTGAGAGAGGTCAACAGACCATGAGAACTTTACAGTATTTGATGATAATCTCATTCTGATACCCTGCTAAATTAATAACCCTATGCAATGAAAAGAAAAGGAGCTGAGGTACAGAACACACACCGAAGATACCCAGCCACTGGAGATGTGCTAACAGCTAACGGTTGTTAGCTACTGTTGATGTTCCCTGCGTTGTGTTAAGTGTTTATCTGTCACTGCTCATTCATCAAGCTTAAGAAGGATAATAATCTTTGAGGCTATCATAGCACGTAAGGGGTAGAGCTCAGACGTGAAACTAGTTCTGACCCCAAAGCCAACCGTCTTACGCACTGTAGCATACCAAGTATAGCACTTGGAGAGCTGCAGAGCCATTAAAGACAGCCACTGCCCCATGACGAACGGAATAATTAAGCAGTGCAAACATGTGCTAATAAAAATAAATTTTAAAAACAGCAACTGTGAGAACTACCGACCACAGGGAAAGTTTGTGATGAAGTAGTCCTTTAAAAAAACACTGTAAAACCGGTCACAAAGAAAACCCCAGGCTCTCACACACACACTTGCAAAATACATAGATGCCAGGAGTATCAGTCTGGGTCTTCAGGGGAAAGAAAAGCCCACAGCAATGTGAACAGGTAATTATTCCTATAACAATGTGTTCATCATGATGGGACGGTAGTAATAATGGATCCCCTAATAAAAAGAAAAGGAACCCTGAAGAATACAGCAATAGCAGCGTTGAGGAGCAGCTGCTGCCTTATGGCTGAAATAAAGGCCCCAAGAGAAAGGTACCTTCTCCTCCAGCTGGGGAAGCCGGTGCTGAAAAGCTGTGTGGACGGAAATAGCCTGGCAGTGAACGGAAATACTCTTTTGAAAATACCAAGGTATATGTTGGGAAAAGTAGAGCTTTTATCTATACCAACAGACTTTGGAACCATTACATACCACCTTCCAGATACCCGACTATTTTGTGTGTGTACATCTGAACTCTCACTGGGGTTACAGCTCAGCAGCACAAGCACCTGCCTGGCAAATGGAGTCTTGAGTTTGAGTCCCAGTACAAAAAAAAGTATTCTTTTAGGACAAGAATTGTTTCATCGGGGCTGGGGATTTAGCTCAGCGGCATAAGCACCTGCCTTGCAAGCAGGCAGTCATGAGTTCAATCCCTGGTACTGATAAAAGGAAAAAGACAAGAAAAATAAAAAATAAAAGAATTGTTTCATCTTCTTTCTGTAGCCAATTCCACATTGGGTATACACAATATGTTCAGTGATTACCATTAAATATACGAATGCTGAGGGAAGACTCCTATTTTTTGTTCTGAGGACTCCTCTTACAATGTGCTTTTTTGGCAGGATGGAGTGGTATATGCCTGTAATCCCACCACTTGGAAGGTGGAGGCAGGAGGATCACTGCAAGTTTGAGGCCAGCCTGGGCTACATAGTGAGTTCCAGGCATAGCAAGACCCTGTCTCAAAAAACAAAACAAAAAAATGCACTTTTTTTCCTGCATTACTTTTTTTTTTTACCATAAAAGCAGTAAGTAAATATAAGGAGGGGAGCCTACTAGGAAAAATGTAAAGATAGAATAAGAGAAAAACATCAAAATTTTCCTATTACCCCAAAATAATCACTATTAGTACTTTGATGTCTCATGCACAAATAGTATTTTTTTAAAATAAAATATAGATGTATGTGCATCATACCCCGTTACACAATTTTATATCATGCATTTTCTTACTTACTATAAAAAAAACTTTTCTCCGAGTCAGCTGTTGATAGCATTGTGTGTGTGTTAAATGTAGGCTTATTCTCACGTATCACACACGGTACTGGATTAATGCACTGATGGGTTTACAGCTCGGTGTGATGTGATGTTCACTGAACCACTTTCCTTTTGGAACTCGTAGCTTCTACTTTATTATGAGTAATCTCATGGTGGCCATGTGGTTAAAATCCTCTCTGGTAGGCCTGTTTCCTAACACGGCTGCCTCACATCCGGGAACATGTACATCATACTGCACACCTTGGTTCTTTTTTCCTTTTTTAAAAAATCTTTTTCCCCTTCCCTTCCACCTCCCTGCCTCCTTCTCTAAACCCCCTTTCCCCATTTTTGTTCTCGTTGATAAAATGGATCTCATTCCCTTTTTAAAAAGGACACCATCCTTAAGTTTCCTCCATGCCCTCGGCTCCCACAAACAGGAACCTCCGTGCTCAACCTGCACCTAACCCTCTCCCCATGACACACACAGCCCTCAGGGACTGCACAGCTCTGATCTAGTCCCATTTACCCTTGTCACTAAATTGGGGGACGGTCTGAGTACAGGATCCCCTTCGGCCTGTCCTCCTGGCAATGGGGGAGGGAGGCACCCCAGACTTCCAACTCCCTGCACAAGGGGCTTCGCTGGGCGGGTCCCCGGAAGGTGCGCCGGGAGCCCTAAGAGGCGGAGACGCTGCGGGTTACAGTCCAGGGAGGGCCCGGACTCGGCGCGCCGCCTCCACCCCGGAAGACCGGCCCCGGCCTCCAACTCGGCCGTTTCTCCCTCTCCTCGGCCACCGCACTTCGCGGCGGGTCACCCAGGGCTCCCTGCAGACCTGATCTGGACTCCGAGGCTCCCCAGCCGAGGGGGCGCCCAAGCGCCTGCCTTCCCTGCCCCTACCTGCCTTCCCTGTCCCGTCCGCGCCGTCCAAGCCAGGGGCAGCCCCGGGGCCGCGGGCTCCACCACCTCGAGACCCCGATCTCCTCCGGAGACGGCCCCTCCCCCACTCCGCACCTCTCGGGCGCGTCTGCGCGCCTGTCCCTCGGTCCTTCCCGCCAGGAATGGCTTTCTAGCCGTGGCCTGCGGGTCCTCTGACCCTGGCCTGGCGTCTGCTCCAGTCTGCCCCTCTGGTGACAGCGCCTCGGTCCCCTCTGAGGTCCCCGTCACACGCCCCTCCCCTAGCTGTGTCCCTCTGCGCCCCCGCCCACATCAGTGCTTCCGTCCGCCCGCACCGTGCTCCTCCGCTGCCATAGGCTGTCCCTCCGTACAGCCAGGTCCCGGACCACCATCCCTCCCTGCAGCCGGGGAGTCTGAGGCCGCGTCCCCTCCCTCGCCCGGGTAACTCTTCCCTCTTCCACTTTCTCTACTTTGAGCCCATCCCAGCAGAGTCCAGGAAGTAGCCTGGCACCAGAGACAGGCGGCGGTAACGCCCAATGGGGCGCCTCAGCGGCGGCAGAGGCCCCGCCTAGAGCACAAACAAAGCCAATGGGCGTGCGGAGGCGGGACTTCCGCTGTCCCGAAGAGGGCGGGGGAGCGAACTGTTGTGGTGCGGCGCGTTGGGCGGGCGGCGGCCGGGCGGCCCTGGGGCTGCCGCGGGACTCGGGGTGCAGCCCAGGCGGCTGCAGGGGTGGAGCGGGCCGGACGCGCCGCGGGGCCCGGGTGCCACGGGTTCGAGGCCGGGCCCCGCGCGGGGAGGCCGCGCCACCCCGGGGGAGCTGCCAGGCAGCGAGTTTGCTCCGCAACCGAAAGAAGGCGGGAGCCGGCGGGGGCCTTGGAACCCCCGGCAGCCCGGGCCCGAAGTCCCCGGGGAGCAGCCGTTTCCAGAGACGCCCTCCCGGGCGCCCCGCCGCCGGGGGACGCTTCCGGGCGCCCGGCCGAAGGCGCCTTCACTGACCCCCGGCGGGGCCCTGCGAGCCGCGGGAGCTGACCCCCGGGCCTGGGCGCGGGGCGACCGGACTCCGGGACGCTCGGGCGCGGGCTCTCGGCGCCCTGCCCCGCGGGGAGCGCGGCCGCGGAGTGGCGTGCGGGGGGCCCTGCCCCGGCGGGGCCGGCGCGGCGCGGGGAGATGAACGGCTTCAGCACGGAGGAAGACAGCCGCGAAGGGCCCCCCGCCGCCCCCGCCGCCGCCCCGGGCTACGGCCAGAGCTGCTGCCTCATCGAGGACGGCGAGCGCTGCGTCCGGCCCGCGGGCAACGCCTCCTTCAGCAAGAGGGTGCAGAAGAGCATCTCGCAGAAGAAACTCAAGCTGGACATCGACAAGAGCGTGAGTCCGCCGCGGCCGGGCCCCGCGTCCCCGGGCTGCGGCCGGGACTCCCCGCCCTGGGCCTCGCCGCGCCTCGGCTGCGGCATCCCGGAGTCGGACTCGGGAGGCTAAAGGCCGCGGGAGCGCGGCGGTGCCGGGCGATCCTGCCCAGGTCCGGGGGCTGGGCCGGGTGGGGTGGAGGCCGCTCCGGGGACGCCTTCCTGCCTGGGAAGATTTGACAGCAGTTTGTTGCTCGCTTGCTCGCTCTGTCTGTCTGTCTCTGTCTCTCTCTCTGTCTCTCTCTCTCTGTCTCTGTCTCTGTCTGTCTCTCTCTTTGGTTTAGAGATAAGGGTATTGAGAGGTAGATTGATTATTGAGTTGGCCCACGAAAGAGCAGGGATTGGGGAGGGTAGGAGTGAAGAGGGTCCTGACTCTTGCCCAACTTAGCCCTCTGAGGAACCCTGTTACTCCTTGCAGTCCTTGAGAGGTGGCGCTTTCTTACCCAGCTCCTGCAGACTCAGTTTCTGCAGAGCGTCACTGAGCTGGTTTCGCAGGCAGCTGTGGGAATGAGTTTGTCTAGGATGTAGCAGAAATAAGGCCAAACCAGAGCTTGGGAGATGGCTGTCGTCGTCAATGTGGCTGGAAGGGGAAAGAAAACCGATTTTCCTAGGGATGGCATCTCTGGAAATGCGGAGGTGGAGATTTAAATTGGTGTAGGATTGCCCTGTGCTTTGCGCTTAATGATAGACTTTCCTGTGTGATTTCACCATTTCTAGTTAACATTTCTGAAGATACTGCCTATTGTCAGCCAATTAAGAACTTCGTGGTTTGACAATTGTTGCTGCAGGCTGTCAGTGGCTGCTTCATAATTAGGAACTAGAAACAGGTTAAGGAGGGATATTTAATATACAGTTAGGTTGGGAGTTGAGGTGGTTAACATCCATTTTCTTTTAGGTCCAAAGTGTCTCCACATTTGGGGGGAAATCAGAGAGAAACTGAGAGGAAGCTCACTTTTCCACTTCTGATTCTCCACCTGGGATTGAGCCCCAGATACAGGAAAGTGGTGGTGCCATGGGCACCCAGCACCTATGAGGCTGGCTTATTTCCTAAACCCATTATCTGATTTATTTCCGAGCCTCTTGCATGAGCCTTCAGTGAGACTTTAATAAATAAATCTTGACCTTTCTTCCAGGCCCGCCCTTCCTACTCTCAATTTTATTTGAAGTTAACCATTAAAGTAGGTTTGCAGCTCTTGCATTGAAAGCTGCTATTTTTAAAAGATGGAGGCTGAATTAATGACTTTCTTACTATAAATTTCTGCTGGTCAGTGAATGCACGGAATTCATCAGGAGCAGATAGGTGGCCAGGCACCTCGGAGGTCCCTGACAGTCGAGTGTTGAAGTGAAATGACTAATTCTGGGACAGTGACACATTGCTCCACCAGGAAGCAACGCCTGCCTTCTGCGTAGGTTGTTTAGTAGCCTGTACTTGAGCTCCTTATATTATTTCCCAATCGTTTTAAGCCTCTGAGCGCCTTCACATCTGAACGATTTTTGCCACTGTAACTGAGGCCCCATTTAGCCGCTGTGACCTCGATGCAAGACCAGAGTTGAGTTCCGTTGATCATTTCACTCATAGGCCATCACGGGAGTCTCGCCCTGGTTTTCCCCAGTGTAGTGTGCTCAACAGCGAGGGCTTCTCTCACAGTTTGTGTCAAGGTAGTGGTGTGGAGTCATTACTTCTGAAAAGAATGCTATTTTATTCTCTCAGACTTAGGCAGGATTCAATTCCAAGTAACTGCTGTGATACAAGAATTTTTAGCTGTTGCTGAAAGTGAAACAAAACAACATGAGAGCTTCTGCTCCTGCTCTGCTGTTCCTCACCCCACCTCCAAATAACACTGAGCTCTGAAATTTCAGAAAACCAGTGTGTAGGGGAAAGTAGTTACAGAGAGACAGTGACTTTGTGTCTTGTAAAAAGATGTAACAGAGCCGGGGATGTAGCTCAGCCATACAGAGCCGTCCTGGCAAGCGTGAGGGCCTGAGCTCAATTCCCAGTACCCCCACCCCTCCAAAAAAAGACGTAGCACACAACTTTTTAGCAGCACCAAAAACCCAACTCAGGTAGTTTTAGCTCATTTTACATAGACATTGGTGGTGGTCTGTGATTATTAAGGTTTAATATCCTTGCAGATATTCTCCAATTAATATATTCCTGCGTTGTTTTTCCCTAGAGAAAAGTAGAAGTTGAGATCGCATAAGGGAGTAGAAGGGGACATAAAAAGAATTAAGATGTGTTATGTGTATGTCCCACCTCGCCATGATAAATGCCATCATCAGGTGCTGCAGGCATGCACTGATAAGAAAATTATCTTACTTATTTTATTTTATTTATTTATTTTGGTACCAGCAATCAAACTCACAACCTTATGCTTGCCAGGCAGGTCCTTGTGCCACTAAGCTAAATCCCTGGCCCAAAATATTTTGAAATAAAGAAAGAGAATGATAATAAAGGAAAATACTGGGATAGGAAGAGACACATACCTGAGGTCAGAAGACCCAGATGACCTTGGAGAGGCCATTTCTAACACTCTGGTTATTCCACTAGAAAATGCAATTGAAGCCAGAGGGGGTTGCGCTAGGGATTGTGAACATTTCTTCCTCCCCCCACTCCTCCTCCTTTTCCTCCTCATCCTTTTCTTTTTCTGTCTTTTTGAAACGGGGTTTCACTGTGGAGTTCAGACTGGTCTTGAATTCACTATGTAGCTCGGGCTGGCCTCAGACTTGCAGTGATCCTTCTGCCTCGGCCTCCCAAGTGCTGGGATTCCAGGCCTGTGCCACCAGGCCCGGACAAAGTTCTCTTCTAGCAAGCTTTCATTATTCTAGTATCAGGACCTGAACTCTCCCAGTCAGAACTTTGGGGAGCACCTCCTGTGTCCAGCTGTCCTACCCAGTTTGTCACCCACCTGCGTGGACACACGTGCAGGACACCACTGTAGTAGACTTGAAAGTACTCCTTAGTCATCCGGCAGCATGAAAGTGATCATTCATCTGAAGAAACAGTTCACATTATTTTCTTCATAGGAAGTCCCGAATTAAGCCATCCGATTTCCTGTCAGCTTACTTTTATCTTTAGGATTTAAGGAATCAGCTCAATCTCAGAACATTTGTGCCACATCTGTTTCAATATCAGCAACCCCAAGTCTTTCCCACAGGCATCTGGCCCCCCCAGACAGCTCGGGTGCTTAAATTCTTAAGTAAAAACATATTCACATCTTAGCTGGTACTGGCACTTTTACTTACTAATACGCCTCCAGCCTATAAAAGAAGATGGCAGATAGGCTCGACCTTTTTTTATGTGGTTCCGCTCTGCAGGAACAGGGCAGGTGTGACGGGGTGCAGGAATTTGCACACTGATGCACAGAAAGTGTTTTTCAGAGAGTCCTCGTGCTAAGCCTTCTGTCTCAGGTAGGACGCCCTGGGGGCCAGGATTCCTGCTGGTCCCCTGGACATGGCATGTCACTCCCTGCCCCAGAAGCCTCGGGGGCCTGTCCTGGGTGAATAGAAGTCCATGCTGGCCTTGTGCTCCCCGAGCCACCACGCTTCTCCTTCCATTCCTACGTGGACAGTCGCCCGCGCTACATACCCGAGCCACCTCACCGTCGCCCTTCTTGGGAACCTCTTCCCCGTGCCTTGCCTCAGGGCCTGTGGAGGTCCCTGCTCGGAGTCGTAGGCCCCTGCAGCAGCATCTCTTCCTCACCAGGTCCCTGTCATCTGTCGTCCTCATCATCCCTGGAGACTTGGTCTGTAACACACTGTAGCGTCAGTGTTTCCTTTGTGTGTTTCTGTTCTGTTTGTTTCTTTGGCTGTAATGGAGATTGAACCTCACACTACGCTGCAACCCCAAACCATCAATTTTTCTGTTTCTTTTTTTTTTTTTTTTTTTTTGTCACAGGTCTCCCTAAGTCACTGAGTTGCCAGGGCGAGCCTCAAACGTGCAGTCCTCCCGCCTCAGCCTCCCAGACTTGGTGGTGGTTGCCGTAGTGGTAACGGCGATGGCTAGGGATGAAAGCCAGGGCCCCCCACACGCTCAGCAAGCCTCCCCCTTGCTGTGTCGCCAGCCCTGTTTGTGTACTTCTTGCTGTGTGCCCCCGTGGCCAGCTCCCGCAAACCGTGCTCTGTCTGCCTCTTGTTTCTCCTCATGTCCCTTCAATGCCTTGCTGACAGGAGACCCCTGGAATTTGGCAGGTCCCTGTCGCTCTTTCCACGGAATCAATCACTCTGACTTCTCATTCCTTCCCGTCAGGTGAGGCACCTGTACATCTGTGATTTCCACAAAAATTTCATTCAGAGCGTCCGAAACAAAAGGAAGCGGAAGACAAGCGACGACGGTGGAGATTCTCCCGAGCACGACACTGACATTCCTGAGGTGAGGGCCAAAGCCTGAGCCCGCCAGAGAGGGACGGGCGGGTTCTCGTGCCATCCTCCTCCTCCCAGCCTGGTCTGCTCTTCTGTGCCAGGAAGTCATTTTAGTCCCCTTTGTCTTGCTCCGGTGTATTTGAAAAGCGAATCATAGCCAATAGTAACATTGCCCCTGATGGACTGCAAACACTGGAGGCCGAGAAGTCCCTGGGCTGGGCTGGGCTGGGCTGGGCTGGGCGGTCCGTCCTTTTTCAGACCCGGATCACACGTGTTACTCAGTGGCTCAGTCTTAACACTCTTTCTAACATCCACACTGCCCCTATGCTTTGACGTGCTTCAGGAAAAGCCATAGTGTCGGGTTTTTATTTTTTTATCTTTTTGGTGCCAGGGAGCGAACTCATGACCTTGCACTTGCCAGGTAGGTGCTTGTGCCATTGAGCTAAATCCTCAGCCCAAGTGTGGGGGGTTTTTTTGTTTGTTTTTTGTGGGTTTTTTGTTTTTTTCTTTTTTTGCCTGTAAACTTGGAGACTTGAGTGTGTGCACCCCAGGCGCAATCTTCCCTTCTGTTTTGGGGAGTAAGTCATCTGTTCTCACCAGCTCCGGTTTCCTGCCGTGATCACCAGAGATTCATTTCTGGATCAGCCCTAAGCCAGTCCCCCAGCCCTGGCACTGTTGTCGTTTGGTACCAGCTAACTCCGTGGCCATTGCAGGACCCTTATCGGGTTCCTTGGCCCCCGCCACCCAGGCGCCTGTCACACCACTCCTGAGTTGTGACAATCACAAAGGCCTCCAGACATTGCCACATGTCCTCTGGGGGTCCAAGTCGTCCCAAGCTCAGGACCGCTGCACTGAACCATGTGATCTCAGCTTCCCTCCGGAAGGTTCTTCCTTAGCGTACCCATGTGTATTAAGTGAAGCTGCAGGAAGGAATATTGGGTTTTCTTTTCATCTAAATTGTTTTCACTTAAGACTCAGCAAAAGAAGAAGCGTTTATAGTGTACGCCGAATATTTGATGCATGAATATTTCATAAGGCAACCGCCTGTTAGCACTCAGAGTGAAAACGAGTGCGTAGGAACAGAGTAGGCGGGCCTTTGTCCGCAGATGTGCAGGAAACCTTTGAAATCCAGCCCTTTCCCTCCACCTCTCCCGAGTCCCCCTTCCAACATCAGTCTACAGTATCTGCCTATTGCCTGTAGCATTGTCATTATTTTGTAAAGATGTATTTGGTTTCTAAATGCCTTTCACCAAAACAAAAACAAAACGGGGATTTGGAGGAATGTTTTGAAACACATGAAGGACTCGGGTCCCTCATATTGATCATTCATTTTGTTTTTAAGTGCTCTCCACCTGCCTGAAGCAAGAACCATCTCTTTTAGAGGCAGGTAAAGGCAGCCCAACTTTCCGGGCCTTCACTGTTTCATGACTGGGCAGCTTTCCTCTCTTCCTGTGTGGGAAGGACCTGGGGGTCCCTCCCTCTCCGTTACCCAGGCGTCCGCAGAGAGCCTGAGCTTAGCGTGCCGATTCGCGCATCGCGACGGCAGCTCTCGAGCTTTCCCTGGAGGACTTCTGAGAGTTCCGAGACCCAAGGCTGGGCCTAGAGAAGGACCAGTCGGACGTGACCCTGCTCTTTGCTGTCCCCTGTGTCCACCTGCTGCCCGGCTCTGGCCCGTCACCCTCCAGGGCCTCTCAGCTGCATCCTTCACTCGAGGATCACTGCCGGCACCCCAGGGTCCCCCGCACCCCCAGCCCACCTTCTCTCCACCTGTAATGCCACCTCCTGCTTCTCAGGACATAGCACCCACCCAGTGTCACCGACGTCCGCCTCCTGGATCCCTGCGCTCGCCGTCTGCTCCTCCCGTCCCTTGCTCTCCTCACCGCCATCACCGACCCTGCCTTCCTTCGCTTCAGCCTCACCTCTTCCACCAGCCTCCTGGGACCACCCCGCCAAGACTCTCCCACTGCTGGTTTTGTCTCCCTTGCCTGTCGCTAGTCCTCAGTGGATGTTTCTAAGACTTCTTTCCTAGCTGTCCCCACCTCACCCTACCTAGGGTCTGCTGGGCACGTGGGGGGTTCCTGGTGATTCCTGGCTGGTCTGGCGGCAGTAACCCGTTTCTCCTCTTCTCCCCAGGTCGACCTGTTCCAGCTGCAGGTGAATACCCTACGGCGCTACAAGCGGCACTACAAGCTGCAGACCAGACCGGGCTTCAACAAGGCCCAGTTAGCAGAAGTAGGTGGACAGAGGGGCCCAGCTTTGTGCTGCCAGTGTGACCCTGCTTCCCCCTCCCACCGCGTGTGTCCCCTGTAGTAAGCACCTCCATAGCTCTGGGAGCTGCTGTCGGGCCCTCTTTTGCGGAATTCACAATTCCGTAGCTTTGGCCTGGAAAGCATATGGCAGAGAGGGAGGGAGGAAAGGACTTGCTCAAAACCACACAGCCTGGGAGCAGAAGTGATTCTGAAATCTCTGGACTCCTGATTCTCAGTTTGTTTGTATCTTTTTTGTGTGATCTTCATAAGTATGATTTTTCCTGCACATCAGCTGTGTCAAATTAATCACCCGCAAAACCTTTGTTAATGTTCCACAGGAGCTAGTTTTCTGTTCCTGTATTTTTTCCCTTGATTTCTTCTGTGATGTTCACAGTTTGAAGGGCAGGGTTCTCCTTGGCCTTTGTGTGAATTCTCTCATTGCCCTCCACACCCTTTATTTCCCCCTGAGTGGGCTCCTATTATGATGCCAGGCCTTCCGGACAGGCGCCACATCCCCACACTGCACAAGTTAGAGCTTTGTAACCCCGGTTGATGCATGGTTTGTGGGACTTTGGGATTTTACTTTATTTTGTTTTATTTTATTTTATTTTTTGCCCTGTAGACTGGGTGGGACTTTGGGATTTTACTTTATTTTATTTTATTTTTTGCCCTGTAGACTGTCAGCCGACACTTCAGGAATATACCTGTGAATGAAAAAGAGACCCTCGCCTACTTCATCTACATGGTGAAGAGTAACAAGAGCAGACTAGACCAGAAGTCCGACAGCGGCAAGCAGCTGGAGTGAGGGGAGGTGTGCCCCAGGAGTGCAGCGCGATGCCCAGTGCACAGGTGACACCTGCCACATTTACGCCCAGAAAGACTGTTAAATTTTATTGTAAATAAAAAAAAGTTTGGTGAATACTGTAAATCTTTTGGGTCAGGAGAGTATATTCTCATGATTGAGCATATGTATAGAAAAACATTGTTTTAAGGTAACTACTGGACTGTAGAAAAACAGGATCATAAAAAGAATTTAAAGCATACTGCAGCATTCAGCAAAGCATGACAGCAGCTCTCTTGGAAACATGGTCCGAGCTGTCCCTTTGGAGCACCAGGCCACCCCCTGCGTGACATGGCCCCAAGGGAACGCAGGGTGCAGACCCAGGCCGGGACTTGGCCCACCTGCTGAGGATCTAGATGTCCCGCTTTGCTGCAGGCTGTCTGTTATCAGCAGTTGTGTGACACTGGTCCCCTCACTCACCCCAGGCCGGGCCTTTGAGCACAGTCAGTATCAGTATTTGTTGGCTCATCTCGCTGTCGTGACTGCCGCCAGCCTCCTAGCATCTGCCTCGCTGTGTTTGTTCCCCTGCATTCCTGTCCTTCACTGCCTTCCTGCCGGGCGTGCTGGGAGCCCTGATGCACCAGCGAGGAGACTGCAGGGCAGGTGCGGGTTTCAGGGCAGTTGAACGTGCGAGGCAGTATTTGCTGAGGTTCTGGAAACAGTGACTGAGAAACCATCCCAGGAAGTCCTTCACACACCCCTGCAGGCTGTTCTTTGGGGTGAAGTCATGCAGTGTGACTTAAGCCATGCTCCTAGGCAGTAAATGCTTTGACACATAGAGATTTAGTGGCTTGGGGCTGGTGTTTTCCAAGTATTAATCCTGAGTTCACAACGGCCTGCAGGCCTTGCCGGCCTTGTGGGTCAAACCTAGAAGCCCAGCTGTGGGGAGGCGTCTGGCCAGCCTCAACCCCCTGGGCTCTGCTACGGCAGCAAATCATGTGTTTGAGGGACAAAGGTCAGTGCCCCCTGACACTCATCTTTGTGAAAAATTTGCCTCCCTTTTAGGGAGAGGGATGATGCAGTCCTTTTTAAAGTATTCATTATGATCTGATTTCTTTTGTTGTTGTTCAACAAGTCAGATTCTTCTAATTCTGAGCCAAAGTACCCTGTGAAAACAAAGCTTTATATCCAAAACTACGCTTTTGCAAAATTCTGTAATCACGTGTTGGGGGCAGAGGACATAAGAGGGTGGCAGAAAAAGAAGAAACAGGCCTGGAAGCTGGAGTCTGTCTTGACTGACGTATGTTACGGTGCAGGGTGTGGTTGTCCTGTTTGGGTTCAATCCTGAGTCATTTGTTGAGCCTTAAATGATAAAAGAAGCAGCGGGCAGCTCGGCCTCGGAGAGATTTAAGGCCTCATAGACGCCTTATCTGAGCCGCACCTTGGAGGAGGCAGCGCCAGCCCCACCCTGAGCAGGGTGGCAGAGTGTCCAAAAGTCTCCATTCTGTGACACAGAGCACCCTCTTTGGAATGGGGACAGGGCCACCGCTGTCACTGAGACGCAGTGTGTTCCATTGCAGCAAGGCTTCTATCAGTGTTCAAAATGCATGTCTAGCAGATGGCGGCCTTTTAAAATGCATAGGAATGGGCGGGCGCAGGCAGGGGTCCTGCGTTGATACCCCTGGCTGTGAGAGGCCCATCGAGGCTCTCTCTAGCCGTTCCAATTCGGGTTGTATTTAGAGACTGCCTCCCTACTTCACAGCTGGTGGATATGGACTTGGGCATCAAGAAGGCTCAGCAGGGGCTGGCATTGGGGACAGGTGGGACTTCCCATTCAGGCACCTGCGCTGTAGCAGTGTCTGTGTCGTAATGAGGAAGAATGTGTCTCTTCCTGGTATTTAAACCAAAATTGCAGGCCTGTGCCTGCACTGCCACGTAACAGCCAGACTTCCTGGTCGGCCGAGAGCAGTATGCCTCTGAGGGGAGTGGCGTCCGGTGGCGTCCGGTGGCGTCCGCGGCCATCTGCTCCAGTGTCCGTGAGAATGCTACTGCTCCAGGCTGAGACCTGGGAGGCGTCTCACCTGCAGCCAGGCGCTGAGCCCCTCGCTGTGTCCTCTCTAAAGAGGGCTGGTTTTGGAAAGGGGAAGTTGTGGGCATCTTGTCAACTCTTTAAAATAGATCAGGGGAGAGAAAAGGCAGAGCTGTTTGAGTTACTTTTCTCACGTCCAGAGGTCTGTACTTTCATCAGACCACTGAGCTGCTTGCCTTACCGCCTCTGCAGTTTCTGATGGCTTTCTCCCTGCACAGGAGACTCCGCCTTGAGCAACAGCCAGGCCCCCCAGAGCCACAGCGCCTGGCTGCAGGGAGCAGGGGGCTTTGGGGAAAGCAGGGTTCATCTTGGCCGCGTGCGTCTTCACAGCACCTGTCCGGGACTCTTGTGCTTCCTCTGCCTGTGACAGCGCAGCTTGGCTTCTGGTCTTTCTGGAAAAAACTGGAGTTTGGAATCCACAGCTGCCATTGTCTTCTCCTCAGATTGTACGATTCCTGCCTCCATCCCAGCCTGGCATGGCTCTTTCCTGTGCCCCACAGGAGGCCACGCAGAAACTACCATTCATGTCATTCTGTCTTAAGACTAAAAACACAAGCAGACAAGCTTCTGATTCCAAGGAACAAACCCTTAGGTTGGCAGCAGCTTATGAAAGTGATCAGAGCTGAATCTTGCAGAAGATTTAAAACCAAAGGACTGGAGGCCGGTGTTGTAAACTGAGGAGGCATTGCACATGTGCGGCACAGCTGCCGGCTAAGTACTCCCTGCTCACCTCTCAGAAACTATATCGATAATGCTTGCAGCTAACCTTGGCACTTGGGCTGTTATTTTGTGGGGACTTTTTTGTTGCTGTCCTGCAGGGCAGCTGCCTGGTGCAAAGGCCAGGAGGGGAGGACTTTGCACAGGACTTTGCCTATTGAAAACGGGGGTCCCAGTGTGAGAGCAGGAAAGGGCTTCATGGAAATCATCCAGGAGCTCAGTCATTGCAATGACAAGACCCAAAGATTGGAAAGGGCCTTGGACTCACCCAGTGCAGTGTCCCCACAGGTGCTGACCTCCTACAGCGGCCTCCCCCAGGGAGCAGCCTGGGCTCACACATCTTTAAGGACAGAGAACTCACTACCTCCCGGAGAAGCCTGTTCTCTCTCTGTAAACCTCTGGCTTTTCTACATTCTCTGTAATTGCCATCTTTGTCTCTGCCATATGGAGAAAGCTTTTCATCTCGGCAAGGGACTCAAGTCCTGGCTCTGTCCCATGGCATTGCATTGCATTATCGTCTCCAGAAAGGAGCAACTAGGAACACAGACATTGTGTTGCCCCGGCTGTCTGTCCTTCTCCCAGAGCTGACCCTGCTGAGCTCTTTGTGGGGAGTTTTGAGACAACACCGTCAGCCAGGTTTCTCCCAGCATGTTCTTGCAAAAGCTATTGAAGTACTGGGGCAGCAGGCTGCTAAAAATCACTTAAGACAGCAGAGGCCTTAGTTCTGCATGTCCCCCACAAAAGCTAATGCTCATAACATGGCGCGGGAAAAGCTTCAGCTAGATTTGAAGATGATGTTGTTACTTGGCATGGAGTTTAAAGGTTCAGTGGTTGTCAGAAGCTTCGCCTTAGATTCTCATAAGGACTTCACACTCCGTTTATGCTGAGAAAACAAAGCTTGAGGGTGGGGGAGTGGGGCGCTTTGTGTCTCAGTGTCAGAAGTGCTAGGTTTTCAAGCCGGGAAGTCCTTCCAGGCTGTCGTGTCCCGTCTTCCATTCTGAGAAAGTGAGGAAGTAGAGTTCAACAGGGTTCATCTGAGGTCCCACGCCACTCGGGGGCCTGGCCTCAGCCCCCTTGGCCAGCCCAGCTCGCTCCTCTCTCCTCTGCAGGTTGACCCAGGCAGTCTAAGGTAAGCGGTCCTTGGATTCTTGAGAACTCTTGAGGGAAGAGTCCTCAGAGTCACCGTGGCTGGGTTTTGCAGAATGAATGGCAGGAAAACACAGAAGTGGCCCACAGGTTCAGGTCAGGGTTCAGAGGCCCAGGAGGAGGTGTGGTGGTGCCCTGGTGTCATGCAGCGGGCTTGGTGTGAGGTCTTGTGGCCCGACCTCTGCCGCCTAGGCAGAACTCAGGTTGGGATTCCCAGTCCATCACTGAGCTCGGCAGTGGAGCTGAAGGGCGGTGAGCTCAAGACCCTGCCCTGGGGAGTATGGTGCTTCAGGGGTGCCTTCTTGCTCCCTTCACTGTATGGCAGACTGTTTCCAAGTCCGTGGTTAGGCAGGATCATGTTGTTCGCACACTTTGAGGCGGAATCCAGAGTGGCTAAAGGGGACCTCTTCTTGGGGCAGAAATGTCTACAGTTAGTTGTTTTCTATAGCTCGCATCTCAACACAAACCCTTCAGTTGCTTTCGTGTAATTAGCACACTCGCTGATGAGAGGGGGTGCCCATGCCCCCCTTTCACATCTCTGCTGTCTGTTACGCTCGTCAGAGTGTATCTTGGGGTTTGGGGTTCGGGGAGTTTTCCTTGTCCATTTTGTAACTGCCTTATTGAAAAGTAAGTGCCCTTCCATTCCAGGCCTCCTCATATTGTACTCATTTCCTGCCAAATTTGGGATCCTTTGTATTTTAATTTTGTAATCTACGGCTCTGTACTGTTGAAAGGCTCTCAATTCTTTGGAGTCTCCTTAGTATGTATGTGTGACTTTTCATTTGCAATATCACACAGATGGGACGGCCAGACTTTTGCTCTCAATAAATGAACTGAATGAGTAAAAGACAACGCGCTGTGGTGACCTTTGACTTCCTACCTGCATTCAGGGCTTTCGCGTCCACACCCGGGCCCTCGGCGCACGTGACGGTCAGTGCTGCCCAGCACCCACTGTTCCTCGGGCCCAGTGCACACTCTGGAGTTTTCATCACACGAGGTGGAGTCCCAGTCCTGGTCCTCCAGACTCCTCACTTCCCTGGGTCAGCTTACATGTCATGTCCACACACACTGGGCCTTGAGAGTCCACCACCTGGATTTTTCCATTTCTAAGGTGAGAGTCCTGAACGCACTGGGTGGAGCTCTGCAGGTTGAAAAGTCTGCAGAGAGAAGGCTGCAAGCCAGCAAACTCACGTCCCTTCCGAGAGCAGCTGTCCCTCAGTTCCTGCCTGTTGTCCTGTGGGAATGCCTGTCCCGTGGTCCAGTATTGCAATTCGTAAGAGGAACTGGAAATTCAGGACTCTGTGTAAACATCCCAGTGTGTAAAGTCTTAAAAGCACAAGCATGGTCTGGCATTTCCGGTTGGACCTTGCCTTTGGAGGCTGGCGTGCCACCTGGGCTTGGTCAGCTGTAGCTTCTCTGCACCCTCACTTGTTGCCGACCTACTGAATCGGCATCTGCTTTGATAAAGTCCCCAAGCCAGTCAGCCTCCCCTGTTACAGGTCTCTGAGGCCTGGCAGGGTGTGGGCCCACGTCCAGCCTCCTCCCGCTGGGAGGGCAGGGGTGAGCCTCCAACACAAGTCTCTTCAACAGGTCGGAAAAAAGGAGAAATGTCATAAAGATTTTTCCTAACATTAAATAAAATCAATGCAGCCTAGTGCTAACATTTTAAACCTCACTGAAATTTTAAAAGTACTGTTCCTCCCCTCACTGCCATCCTCTTCCTCTCCCACTCCAGGCCCTGCAAATGTCACAGAGAGGCTCAGCATGGGGCATTTGTGGGGGCAGGATGAGCAGACACAGGTGGCTCCCTCTGGAATCCGTGGGACCTGGGACAGATTTGCACTGTCAGATACCCTGACCTGATTTCCTGCAGAGCTCAAAGGAAGTCCCCATTTTCACACCTGGTGTCCCCACTGGAGGCACAGAATAACTCAGTTTGCCCCCCGTCTGCTGCCCTCCCCCTTGCCCTCCTCCAGCCCCTCACAGAACTGCAAAGAGTTCTTGGTCCCCAGCTTTTTTCCATCTAGCTGGGCCCCGTGCTGGGGCAAAAGGATCCACAGACATCACATTTAACAGAAGCGGAAATGTACACCCACATCTGAATGTGCTAGTGTCACTAGGAGCTGCAAACTCAAGCCTTGGGACTATGGAATGTGAGACCCTCTGAGGCACAGCCCCCACTCCTCTTCATCAGAATCCCCCCAAAACCCCATTGCAGTGCCAGTACATAGGCCCCCACCCTGTACCCTCAATGAAAAAGTAAGGGGCTCAGAGCTAGGAACAGGGACTTCTTTTCCTTGTAAGACATAAACTCAGTCTTGATTGAATCCAGTCGGGGGGTTTCTCATCCCAGACCTGGGAGCAGCAGCTTCATCTAAGCGCAAGCTCCCAGCTCTGGATGAAATCTACAAAACGAGGGGAGCCCCTGAGATCCGTCATTCCAACATCCAGGTTCAAGAATGGCTGAGTCTGAAACCCTGAGGCCTGGGGGAGCAAAGTGCTGAGGACATCAGACAGCTCAGAAGGAGCTGAGCCCCAGCAGACAGTGCCAGGTCTGGCCACAAACACCACAAACCACTCGAGTGGGCGAGCAGCCTCTGTGTGGACAAAAGCAGAAAGAAAACAACCCTCAGCGCCTAAAAGATACCCAGCATGGCCTGAGGACAGAGAATCAGCGGCATAAAGCACCTGCCTGGTGAGGGCAAAGTCCTGAGTTCGATTCCCAGTACCACAAAATAAAACCTCAGACCTAAAAAGATGCCCAGCATATAGGGGGATGCTACGAACAGGTGAGATTGAACCCCTTTTACTAAACAGGGATATTTTGTTCTTTCAAGTTTACCAGGCTCTTCTGCATCCAGGAGTAATAACAGCTTTCAAGCACGGAGTGCATGTTAGTTAATACTTTTATGTATATTAATTTGCTTAATCTCACTAGAAGTGTATAAAGTGGCAGCTGTTACTAACTCCCTTTTATGGAGGTGGAAGTAGACTCAGAGACGTTGAGGGGTTTGCCCAAGAAACACGAGCGCCAGAGCCACTTCTGGGACCAGCTCCAAGGTGCATCTGGCCCTGGGGACCTGCTGTCAACCCCGCGTCCAAGCGCTCAGAAGGCCGCCATAAGTCACCCTGACCCTGATCCTGATCACCAGGATTTACTCAGTTTTAATGAGGGGTTCGGAGAAGTCACTGAGATCCTCGTTAGGAAATTTAATAGGTTTTAATGGAGGTTAACAAGGTACAGCCAACCTTGCAGCCAGGTTTTAACTCAGCGGAGCTGAACGGATGTTAGCAAGTGCAGGTGGCACAAAGGCACCTGCGTGATTTAATGGGGTTAATGAAACTGTCAGAGGTCAGCTGGAGGCGCACCAGAGCGGACCCCGTAACGAGCTGGCCTGGCTGAGGTCAGCGTGCACTTGTCAAACAGCCTCAGCCCGCCCCGTGCTACCTCAGGCGTCCAGGGAGCTGCTGCGAGAAGCTGACATGGCCAGGCCTGCTTAGCGGTTTGGACCTGGGTTCCTTTCTCATCCCTGCTCTCTGGGTGTCGTCTAACCTGTTATAGAGGGCATGAATCATTTTCACCGTCACTAAAATACCAAAGCACTCTCCAAGCACTTACCACTGGCCGCCTTGTCTACGCTCCAGACTCCTGAGCTGTGTGGAAAACAACAGAAGTAAAAACAACAGTAATACAAGCTGCACTTGGGCAACCTGTGGGTGTTGTAGCTGTCACCTACTTTGCTCCAGGGTCAGAAGCTTTGAAACAGTGACACACGAGGTCATGCAGTGGGAGTGTGGGAGGGGTTGCGGAAACAAGTCCTGGTCCTCTGTCTCCCCGATCGGTACCGTGTATTTCACTAAGCACTTACTATGTAACTGGTTCACAGTTAAAAACTTCACATGCCTTCGCAACCCTACAAGGTGGGTACTGTCATTACCCCTGTGTCTAGAAAGGTGAGAGCCCTGGTCCAAGGTTGCCAGAAAGTGGTGTGGATGAGACCCGAACTCAGGTTCCAGAGCTCACCATGCTGCGCTGCCTACTAACTGGGCATGATACTATTTCATGGGAATGTTGCTTAGAATAATAAAGAACTGCTGGGCTTCGTGGCAGAGGTCTATAATCCCAGCTACCTGGACACTGAAGCAGGAGGAGCAGTAGTGAGCCCAACCTGAGCTACAGAGCAAGACCCTGTCTCAAAGTTAAAAACACAAAGAAGGCCAGTGCCATAGCACAGTGGCAAAGCGCCTTCAGACTTACTCCCTAGTACTGAAGAAAAGCAAAACCAAAACAATGAAGCACTGGAAACGACCTAGTGGAGGACTGGTTTAAAAGTATCGCTGGGTGTGGTGGCGCACACCTGTAATCCTAGCACTCTGGGGAGGCTGAGGCAGGAGGATTGCTACAAGGTCAAGGCCAACCTGGGCTACATAGTGAGTTCAAGGCCAGCCTGAACTACATAGACAGAGACCCTGCCTCAAAAAACAAAATTAAAGTATTGGGCCAGGGATTTAGCTCAGCAGTGTGAGTGCCTACCTGGCAAGCACTAGGTCATGAGTTTGATCCCTGGTACCAAAAAAAAAATAAATAAATAATAAAAGTATTGTATACGTCACCATTGTAATATTTAATGATGGAAACATCAGTTTAGAAATACCATTTATATTTATACTATGTATACTACATGTAATATGTATGTGTATATGCAGTATATGAATGTTACATATGTGTATACATGTATATGTCTGAAGATGCACACACATCATATGTGATCATGAACTTATAGGTATATTAAAGCTTCTTACCACACTGTACTTGTATTTTTTCCTTTTTTGAGACAGAGTTTCACTATGTAGCCCAGGCTGGCCTTGAACTCACAGTGATCCTCCTGTCTCAGCCTCCCTTGTGCTGAGATTACAGGCTGCACCATCACATCTGGCATCTGAGTGGGTTAGAGTTAGACAGGAAGGAAAAGCCATCCTGGAAACCAGAAACCAAGGGAGTTTCCTGGAAGGAGAGGATCCTGAGCACAACCCAGAGGGAGGAGGTAGGTGATCTGAGGACAGTGGGGGAAGCCCAGCCCAACCTACCTATAAGTGACGCCCAGAAAGCCTCAGATACTGCAGGCGGAACTTGAACCTGGGAGTCCCATATCCTGCTGTTGAACACCAAGCCAGGCGCTGAAATATGGTCAGGTGGCACCGAGTCACCAACCTGCCCTGTAGGAACAGGCATCTCAGAGAGAAGCTAAGATGGTGCCAGTGAAGGGCAGTCCCTTCAGGCAAGACCACAGTCTCTGGGAAAGACCCAGCACTCCCTCCAAGGGAAATCTGTGCTCCTGTGCCGTGAAGCCTTACAAGAGCCAACGAGGCTTAGCAAGCGTAATGAGCTTAATTAAGCGGAGATGGCTAATGAGACTTCCTGGGCACTCACAGCCGCCAGCGGCATTGGCTCTGCACAGCCAGTGGGAGCGGCCAACGCAGGCCCTTCTGCAGGAGAACGGTGACAGGACAGGTCAGGGGACCGGGGTGCAGGAGAGGCCACCCTGAGCTGTGCTCAGGGCAGCTCAAAGGACGAGGCTCCTCCGCCTGATCAGCACACAATAGCCTGCAGGAGAAACCGTGCCCCCACGAAGCCGAATGGAACGAGGCGAAGCTGCCTCCCGGGGTTGATCTGACCTGGAAGGCGTTGAACTTGGCTGAGTCAGTTGAAACAGTTCCAAGGAGGCGCCACACTATGCATATTTCCTACCCAGAAATATTTCCAAAGCTGGACATAAGAAGATGGTCAGGACGGCAGCCTTGCCTAACACCTGCTAGGAAATACCAGCAGTCGTGGAATATTTATGCTTACA